CCCAACATGCCCAGGACTTCAGGAGCAATGAGCTCTTCCGGCCAGGTGTCCTGGGTTGGGGGTGCCCCTCCAGGCTGGCTGGCTCTACAGTCCTGGGCTGCTGCTGGTGTGGGGTTTTTTGGGACACCTTTTTTCCTGGAGAGTCAGTCACCTTCGCCAGTGATGCCTGGGTGACTGTGGGCTGGAAGTACCTGTGCTCACTCGGTGAGCAGGGCCAGGACTTGGTCCTTACTTGAGGTCCAGGGCCACCCGTTTTTACCCTGGCTCGTCCTTGCCGCTGCCAACCTGTGCTGGGCAGGGCCTGCTCTATACTAGGCATGGTTCCAGGTAGAACTCGTTGACTCTGAGGTCAGACTTGGTACTGCACCGCTTTACAAGCTTGGCAAGTGAGGCTGAGAGAGGCAGAGCTTCTGCCAGGGTCACAGCACAGGAGTGGCATCAGTGCAGCCTGAGCCCAGCAATTGGTGGCCTGCCCCTCAGCCTCCAAGGGTCACTGAACAGGTTGGTTTGGGGTCTGTCGGCAAAGGCAGACAGGAGCTGTGAAATGCCCCAGCACTCCAGGCTGAGAACCCTGGAGAGGCTGCCGTGGGTCCATGTGGTTCCCGGGTTCCCTCCGAGGACAGGCTGTGGCCCCCAGAAGGAAGGACTGTGGGTGTTAGCTCTCCTCTCCCTCATAGCATTGGGATTTGAGGATCACCCCGGAAGCCGTGTGGCTCTGGCATGTCTGTGGCCTGTTTCTGTCCTTCGCTCATGAGCTCCACCGACGGCACAGAGCACCCCTGTTGTCCCTCAGTAACAAAGCCCACTGAGCCCGGCCAGGCCTGCCCTCGCCATGGAGATAGCAGTGCCCATAAGAGGCCCTTGGGCAGTTGGGGCTTGGGGGAAGGCTCTGGTGAGAGAGGCCAGGCAGGAAGAGCGGCAGGAGCCGGGAGGAGCAGAGAATGAGCTGAGGGCACGCACAGGGGGGTGTGCATGTTCCCAACATCCTGACTGGCCAGTGTTGGAGAGAAGCTGGGAGCTGTTTTGTTAAAAATCACTTCAGGGCGTCAGAAGGATAGGGCTGGGTAGGACTCCCTCACTGGCCAAGTGGACTATCAGTTGGGCCTGTCTGGCACAGGGAGCCCCTGGGCAGCCCAGGGGATTAGGGGCGTGGGGGTGGGGGGATCCTGCCCAGTGCAGCATTGCAGGCAGAAGCCACTGCAGTGAGCCGACTCCATGATGAGCAGACCAGACGGAGAAGTCCGTGTAGCAGGGGAGTGGTGACCGGAATTGACGTTTGTTACGGGCTCACTGTGCTGCCAACAGACCTTTGGTGGGTGTGCCTGGGGGGCCTGCTGGCCAGAAGCAAAGGGATGATAAGACAGGTAGGGGTGACAAGCACACAGTTCAGGTGGGGGTAATAGGTAGGCCCTGCGTCCTGACCACGTGGATCAGATTTCAGGATAGTATCTGGTGCCAGCTGCATGGGCACCGGCTCCACCACGGGCCCTGGAAGATGGACCAAGGTGACATTCGCTCACAGTGACATTTAGGCCAGGTCAGTGTTAGACCCCCCCGCCCCACCTCACCCCCAGTCTCTTAGCAAAAGTAAGTGGGCGTAACCATTGGTGTGTCCTTGTGGCCCTTGGTGGGTGCCAGGCTGGCGTGTGAGTGGCACTTCCACTGGGTGGGCCAGGTAGGTGGGTGCCAGGAGCCTCTGGCAGAGGTGACTCGGGTGATGCAAAGATCCCTCCAGGCTGAGCCTCACCTGTGGAGAGGAGCTGCACAGTCTAGGGTGGAGTCCTGCACAGAAGGCCCTCAGAGAGGCTGGGAGGCCCCTCTCTGGCCCTGGAGCCTGCGCAGTGGCTGTGCTGTGGGGACAAGTTGGAGACTGGTGGGACAACGGGTCTTCTACTTCTCAGCCCTGCTTCCTTCTCTCTTCCAAGGAGGGCGCTGGTGGTGGTGGTGGTGGTGGTGGGTGTCTGTTGCACGGGCAGGGAGAAGGTGCTAGTGGATGTGTGTTATGTGTTTGGGTGCTGTGTCGTGGGTGAATGTGTGAGCCCGGACTCGTTGGGGTGGGGGGTTGCACAGCTGTTTTCCCCTGTGTGGCCGGCCCCTGAAGCAGCTTCTCTCTTGTCTGTAGGCTACATCCAGAAGATCAAATCCGGAGAGGAGGACTTTGAGTCTCTAGCCTCACAGTTCAGTGACTGCAGCTCAGCCAAGGCCCGGGGAGACCTGGGTGCCTTCAGCAGAGGTGTGCAAGGAATGGGCACTGCCACCCCTGGGGGACCCCGCCTTTCTCCACCCACTGGGGGACGTGGAAGTGGGGAGGGTTCCTTGGGGGCTAGCCACAGTGCACAAGCCTTCTGGGTCCACCAGGTGGCAGCAGTCCCTTCCTCCAGGCTTGGAGACTGCTGCACCAGGGCCCCTGGGGAGTGCGTTCAGCTTTCCCACGTGGGTTATTCCCTTCAGGGGTGTCACACTGCCTCTGTTCAATTTGTCCCCAATATGGGCTCGTCAAGGCTCATCCTGTCATTTGCCTGCCGTCGGGAGGGTAAGGCTAGAGCCCTGAGAGCCTCAAGAGAGGTCCTGTAGAGGGTCTGTCCCCCCTGCCTGCCCCCTCCACACACCTCTGGGGGGGTGAGGGATGGGAAGGGGTCCAGAGGAGAACCCAGAGCACAGGCCTTTGGTGGGGGGTGGGGGTGAGGGGCAGAAGCACCTGTTCCTGCTCCTGTCCAGGCAGGAGCCTGGGGGGTGGGCGTAGTGCCCTTGGGTGGGGGAAGCTGGCCAGGGCTGTGGGGCACCACCCAGGAGGCAGGCGTGACAGATGATCTGGCAGGGGCAGGGAACCAGCCCAGGAGACAAGTTCATCACCAAAATGCATCTCTAAGCGCAGCAGTGACAGCCCGGCCTGCCATCCCTCATGCTGTCCGAGGCTTCCCGGGGCCTGCTAATGGCCCTGCTGCCCGGCTGCGCCACAGCTCAGCACCGTGACGGCCATAAACAGCATGATGGATGAGGCTGGAGCTCAGCACCAGCGGGGCCCCATCTGCTCCCTCTGCCCACCCTGGCCTGGCCTGCTGGCTTGCTGGCCTAGCCTCAGCCCCCACCCACCGTCTGTCCACACGGTTCCCCCAGGCCAGATGCAGAAGCCATTCGAAGACGCCTCATTTGCACTGCGGACGGGGGAGATGAGCGGGCCGGTGTTCACGGATTCCGGCATCCACATCATCCTGCGCACCGAGTGAGCTGTGGGCCGCGAGGGCTGGCAGCCTGTCGGCTGGCGCTCCAGCCTGCGTAGGGCACTCAGTATTTATTCTTCCTACACTGGCTCAGAGGGCGCTCTTCAGGACCCGGGGCTCCAGGGCCCCTGCCCACCCCCTGTTGGGGTGATCCCTGCTAGACCTCCCTCCCTCTGCATCTTAAGGACTTGACTTCAGAAGGGCCATGAAGGGGGGAGGGGGCTTCCAGAAGCACCGGAAGGCAATGGCCTATCTCACAGGAGGCCTGGTCCTTAGCTTCCCCCTCCCCCAGGCCCAGGAGGGGCAGGGAGGCCAGGACTGGTTAGCTCTAGTTCCTCTATTCAGCTGCAAAAAGCAGATGCTTGACTTGGGGGCTGAGGGGGCCTGGCTGCAGGGCCCTCTCTGAGGGGCAGGGCAGCACCCTCCCCCGCTCTACATTAAACCTTGGAACCGGAACCACTGCTCCACTGTCTGTGTCTCCTTCCCACCCTGGCGTCTGGGTGCCATCTCCCCCCACCAGAGTGTCGTCTTTGGTCTGGAAGCATCCTGCTAGGAATGACCAGCTGCTCAGTCCCAGGGGGCACCCAGGGCCAACCAGTCCCCGTGCCACTCCCATCCCCACCCTGGACATCCAGCCGTCCCCAGGGCACAGTTCAGAGGTACAACTGCGTGGGCCCCTCCCCATAGCTCCCCGTACATAGGGGAGGAGGAGGCTCTGCCATGGGTCTTGTGAGAGCCAGTGCCTGGGTGCTCCTCTTCACTGCGCTCTCCCTGCACCCCCCTTCTCTCCCCCCCCCCCACCCCAGGCTGCTCTCTAATTAGAAGGCTTCACACCCAGCACCCTGGGGCCTGCTCCCATCACTGCAAATGCTTCTGGCAGGTGGTTCATGGGTCCAGCTGCCAGACCCAGCATCCTCCTCGGATGCTGTTTCCATGGTACCAGGGGGCCCCAGGCTGCAAAGTGCGGCATCTATGATAGGGCTCTGGCCCAGCCCTTTTGGGAGAGGAGAGGAGCCCTGTTCTGGGAGTATGGGGGTTGGGATACCAAGGAACAGAGTGGGCCCCTGGGTATGGGGGACTAGGAACCAAGGGTGGGGGGCTGGGAGGGATCAGTCTACTGCATTTGATGCAGATCAACCCAGCTAACAGGCCTCAGGTCTGGGGCTTGGGGATTTAAGCAAAATGAAGCCCTGGCCCTCATGGCCCCAGGGGATTCCTCTCTCCCCTCCCTCCTGACCCCCCTCCCCTGCTCCAGCTGTTTCCACCACCTTATAAACACTCAACCTTGGCCAGTGACTCACCCTGCCTGCCACCTGCAGGGCACTTGTCATTAGGAAGGTTTAATGAGTTTCCTCTCTGTGGACCTACTGGCCAGCTGGTGGGAAGAACTGGGGGCTTGGCTACACCCCCAAGCAGGATTTTCTCTCCTTGCCTGGGTGGCCCTGAGAATGGTAAGAGGTGAGTGGCTAGCGAAGAGATGTCGTCAGCCAATGAGCCTGGGCCCCAGTCACCACACAGGCAACCTTGGGACTGGGTGTGAGTGTCCTCCGGGGGCCCTGGGGGTAGTATCACCATGTGGCTGCCCATCCCCCCTCCCTCTGTATGTCTGTGTAGTGCCAAAATATTAATAAGAAGGAAAGTTGCTGTTAGATAAACACCCCCAGAGCCCACTCAGTGTCCAGGTGATTCATTATTAAGTAGCTGTGGTTTCTCTCACCTGCTTCATGTTCCCAGTCACCCATCCCTGCCTTGAAATTGAGGCTGTAAATCCCAGTCCCTTAGGACAGGGACAGTGTGGTCTTGTCTCAGTCACCTCCCACAGGGCTCATTTCCGGCCAACTGCGAGGTGCAGTGAGCACACTGAAGTTCACCCCGAGGTGCCTGGGAAGAGGCCTGGCCATCAGCCCCCCTAAATCTGCCACTGAAAAGCCCGGTGAGCAGTTCTGTTCTGGTACCCAGAGTCATCATGAGTGGATTCTGGGGCCACATACACCCACCCAGGCCTTTGTGGCCTCGGGCAGGGCTAGTGGGGCACCTCAAACTTGGGGTAACACAGTCACCACCTTGGGCCTGGGTCTTGGCTTCCCTTCATGGCCAAGCACACTCGGAATGAGAGAGGGAAGTCTGACTCGCAGGGGGTGAATGTTGGCCCCAAACACAACACTGTGTGTGTTGTATGTGCGAAGAACAGGATGACGGGCACCTGTGAGTCAGGCACTCAGCAGCCACAGCGGCCACACCCCACCTGGTCCTGTGTTCTGGGTGAGGAGGTGGGTCTCCAGGTCCAACTGACCTTTGGACCACTGCTGTGTCAGGTGCCTGATCCGACATACGGAGGATCCTGAATGAGGGAAGCCTGGCCTGCCGCCCACACCCCACCTCACCCCACTATGGGATTTGCCTCCGAACAAGAATGAGTTGGGGGACAGGGTGCAGCTGTTCTAATCCCCCCATCACCATCTCGTCTGAGTGTGGAGCGAAGAGCCTCGCGATGTGCTAACTCAGGGATCGATTCGCTTTCGATGTCGTTTGTTAATTTAAATGGAAATTAATTGCTTTTCCTGAAGATTCCTGTAGAAATTGGTTTTAAATGAGCGCATTAGGCAGTTGCATTTATTATTCATCGGTTTCATTCCCAATATGGCCTCGGTGCCCGCGTTCCTGGAGATCCCAGCACAGAGCGGAGATGATTTAATCAGGGAGGCCATTAATTAGAGATGGGGCGGGACCGGGTGGGGGTGGGGCAGCTCTTCCTCTCTGGCCTCCATCAACCCCACCCCACGAGGCTGCTGTTCATAAGGTTCTGATCCAGACTCAGTGGGGCTGTAAGTTGGGGGAACACTAGGAGTCCCCTGCACCACCACCTCCCTTCTCTCTCAGAAGAACTGGGCCCCAGAGACAGTCCCCACCCTCTTGCTGCCCTCCACACTGTCACAGCCCATGACACTCCAGTGGTCCCCAGCCCTACCCTACCAGTCAGGTCTAACGCACACCCTCGTCTTGGGCCCCCTCTGTGGCTCCCAGCTTCCTTTTAGCCATTTCTTTAAGACTGAGGGTTTAGTCTGCCCCTTATTCCTTTCCAGGGAGCCCTCATGACGTAGTGCTCACACGTTGGGCTGTAACCGAAAAGTCAGCAGTTTGAAACCACCAGCCGCTCCTCAGGAGGAAGACGAGGCTTTCTACTCCCATAAAGAGTTACAGTCTTAGAAACCCACTGGGGCAGTTCTAACCCTATCCTAAAGGGTCGCTGTGAGTTAGAACCGCCTTGGTGGCAGAGCGTGGTTCTGAGTTTGGGTCAATCCCTTCCAGACTCCCTGTCTTACCCTCCTGCCATCTAGACTCCCTGCCCTTGCCTGCCCCACCCCAAGTGGGAATCCATCCCTGGCCAGTCCCGGCCAGAACAGTGGCTGGGGTATAGGGGTGGGGGGTAGTGTGTTCACCAAAGGCATTGAACAGCATCGTCTCAGATAAGATTTGCTTAAAATGATGTTGAAATGACGAAAGTAAATGGAGTTTTTTTTTAAAAAAGAAAAAAAAACCCATCTAAGTTCTTAAGAGCAGCCAAATTGTTAAAAACCCCTGAAAAAGTTGCCTGACTGCTCTGATAATGCGCCAGTGTGATCGATCAGCGAAAACCCCTGATAGGGCATATTCATTTGAGGCCAATTTTCATCGTTTCGAGCCTCCTCGTTTGTTTGGATCACACTGCTTTTAAACAAATTGTTTTCGATCGAAACCATTTCTGCGTTGGGTCTTGCTTCAGTGAGTGGTGAGCGCCAGCCCCAGCCCAATGCTAGCCCTACTTTCCTCAGGTCACTTAAGCTCAAGTCCTGGAACTGGGGGGCCCAGCCCCACCAGGAGTCGGCGTCCACCTGACCCCTTCTTCCTTGGCCCCTACTGGACGCAAAAGAACGGCCCAAGTGCCCTCACGTCAAAGGTCCCGTTTATTCCAGCAATCCCAGAAAGAAAACGTGGAAATAAAAAAAGGAACAGATTCATGCACTCAACTCCTTTGGAAGAGGGTGGTGGGGAAGGGTGTGGGTGGGAAGCAGAGAGGGAGGAGGGAGAGATAAAGAGAACCAGATGGGAAGAGAGACGGGAAAGTCTTTGATGAAAAGAGGTCGAAAGAAGCAGGGGCATCAAAAAAAGAGGGGTGTGGGGCTTGGCAAGGAGAGGGCAGTGAGATACAGAAATGGAGCATCAAAAGGAGAGGGGAGGAACGGCAGGCCACGGTAGAAATGCAAGGGCTTGAACAGAAGCCTGGCAGAAAGGCATGGGAGAGGAGAGGAGACATGAGAGAAGAGAATTCATTAGGGAGACAGGCCGAGTGGAAAGGACCCCCGGGGGCCCTGGCGGGGCAGCCCCTAGGGGTCCCCCGCCGTGCTGATGACGTGGAAGAGCGTGACGTTGTAGAGCACCTGGTGGCCGTTGTTCCAGGTGTAGAGTGCCCGCTCGCGGGGGTTGTAATCCAGCATGGAGATGTGGGAGTACTGGTTGTGGAAGGGCACGTCCGTGTACTCGTAGCTGGACGTGTTGGTGAAGTAGGCGAAGTACACCTTGGCCCCAGCCAGGTGGGAGTTGGTCACGTAGAGCACGCCGCAGATCATGAAGGTCTCGCCGGCGCTGCGCTTGGGGTAGCCGGTGTCCCAGGACCGCATGACCTCGAGGGTGTGCGGGTCCAGCCGGCTGACCACGATGTTGCCTGCGTTCTGGTTGGTGGTGTACACGGCCCAGAGCCCACTCTCGTCCACCATGAAGTCCATGTCGGAGAAGCCACCCCAGGAGTAGGGGAAGGTGTTATTGTAACCTGCGCCGGGGAGGCTCCTCTGCACGAGCACGGAGCGGGAGCGGAAGTGGTACTTGACGACCACGTTGCTCTGGTACTTGTTGTAGAAGAGCGAGCCGTTGTACACCACGTGGCCCGTGCCTGCCCAGGGCTGGGGCAGCAGGTGCTGGATAAAGTTCTGGCCTTTGATGAAGTCTCCCAGGGTGCGGAACTCCAGGACCCGCCGGCCTTTGTAGTAGCCATCCATGTACCAGACCTGCAAGAGCAGCCATTGGTCGCGGTGGGAGCCACCGCCAGGGACCCGGGATTCCCAGCAGCAAGGTAGGGGTCAGCCAGGGCCATTTGAGGTCAACAGTCCGTCTGACCACCCAGGACCAATCCCCGTCTCAATGACTGAGATCGTTTGGTCAGGGAATGCCTGGAGACAGCCACTGAGTGGTCGGTGCCCGGTCCATAAGGAGCATGGGGAATTGCAGTCCCTGGGGATTCCCGTGGCCCAGAAAGTCACTGGTCCCTGGGCACTGGACAGTCAGTGGACCCTGGGAAGGCACAGCGTGATAAAAGCTCATTTGAATTCATCGCCCATGGGGGTAACACCGGTAACCCTGACCCAGTGCCATTGCCATCATGTTCATTAGCACTTGGGAGCACCCTTGTTAGTAGTGCTGGCTGTTGAGTTAAGTGGTGTATACACCACAGCGCTGATAGGATCACGATCACTTTGAAGGTAGGGAAATTGCAGCTCGGAGGCATTAAGGGACCTCCCAAGAAGTAGTGGGACTGGGATAGGAATCTGATGCTACACCCAAGCTTTTAGTTAGCCATTCGTTTCTCATAATCCCTAAGAACCTAAGGATCATAATGGGTTGAAGGTTAGTCACTCTCTGTAACTTATGACGTTCCACGGCCACCAGGGGGCTCCATTAGTCACTAGAAGGTCACTGTTGATGGACAGTTGGGGGGGGGTGTCACATGGCAGTCACAACTATGGAGGCCACTGTAAGTCCAGATGTCACTCAGTGGGGCCGGAGGGGGCCCATCTCTAGCTCTTGGGAAAGTACTGGTCACCGGGTACGGAGAGATGAATGGTCATTGGGAGCTGGTCAGTGGTACTCAGTAACCACTAGTCCTGATACAGTCATGATGGGAGGTTAATAGGCTATGTGAGTTCACCGGATGGCAAAGCCCTCGGTCAGTTGGTGGTCACTAGACCATCAAGGGGAGGGCCACACACCACACTTTGGGCTACAGGAGTCATTGGTGTGGCACCGCTGGGCAGCCATGGGCTATGTCCCTCCCCCTCCCCACGGGTTGGCACGGCCACTCACCCGGCTATCCGCACTGGGGGCCATCGTGTCAGTCATCCAGGAGCCAAAGCGAGACCCCATGGCCCGAATGGTGATGGGGTTACTGACCCCAGTCAGCTTCCCACAGCCTGAGGGCCGGAACAGGAGTGAGAGTGGGGTGAGAAGAGTTCAAGGGAGGCAGGGCAAGGGTGAGGTATTGGGGATCAAGATGGGAAGAGCTCGGATCCGGGGTGAAGGAGGATACAGATATCTGGCCCTAATATGGAATCGAGTTGAGCGGGGGTAAGGAGTTGGAAGTGAAGGGTCGGGGGCCATTCTGAGCACAGCTTCTGAGGACAGGTTCGGCCTCGTGTAGGGAGGTCGGGGTCAAAGCTTAGAGGTTAGAGATCTAAATCATGCTCAGGCTCTGGGCACCCAGGTGGTATTGAGGTTGGGCATGAAGGTCAGGGGTCAGAGACAGGAGGGAAGGCATACCCAGCTTCTGGGCGCAGGCATGGAGCCGGGCCTCCAGAGCCATGACTCGTTGCTGCAGGTCCTCGTACCCATAGGCACCCATCTCTTCCTGGATGGCTGCCAGACTGCCGGAGAGGTTCCTCACCTCCTCCCGAAGGCGCACGATGGTCCGTGTGTCTGCCTTGTACTGCTCCAGGACTAGGCTCAGGGGCAACAGTTCTGTCATCCTGTCCTTCAGTTCCTGCCCACCAAGGTGACATCATCACTGAACTTCAATGCTGACATTTGACCTATACCCAACTTCGACCTCTGATCCTCACTTCATCTCATCTTTTTAAAAAAATCATTTTATTGCGGGCTCGTTCAACTCTTATCACAATCCACACATACATCACTTGTGTCAAGCACATCTGTCCATTTGTTGCCATCATTCTCACATCTGTCCATTCGTTGCCATCATCATTCTCAAAACATTTGCTCTCCACTTAAGCCCCTGGCATCAACTCATTTTCCCCGCTCCCCCACCCCCCCTCCCTCACGAACCCTTGATAATTTATAAATTATTATTTTGTCATATCTTACACTGTCCGATGTCTCCCTTCACCCACTTTTCTGTTGTCCATCCCCCAGGGAGGAGGGTATACGTAGATCCTTGTAATTGGTTCCCCCTTTCCACCCCACCCTCCCGGTATCACTAATCTCTCATCTCTGACGCCTACCTGGTCCTTGATATTTTGACTCACGCCGGACCTCTATGGGTTCTAGATACCAGGCAACCCTTGGCTCTTCCCCGATATGACCCCACTGTTGGAAATAATTAACACCCCACCCCCACCCCCACCCCCAACGATTTCCCCAAACTCTGACCCAAGTCTTGAGCAGCCCACCTGGAAGCTCTTGGTGGAGAGGGACCCATCGGCCCCCCGGAGCCGTGCATCCAGGCTCCGCATCAGCGTCTCCATGCCGCGCACATACTGGAGGTCTCGATACGTCCGCAACTCAAGGACTTCCATGGACTGGGACACATTCTGGACCTGGGGAGGGGGACCGCTAGGGAGCAGAGATTCCTTTCCCACACCCCGTCTCAGGGAAGCTACAGACAAGGCCCAATACTGAACAGACCGGGCGCCTTCTCCTCCCTGATCTTACCAGGAACCTCCATATGACATCCTCAACCCATCCATACTCCCAGACTCCTACCTGGTCAAGTCACCGCCACCAACCACCTCCTCCCTGCTTCCCACAAGATCTGCAGTCCGTAGTCCTCAAAGAGAGCTCCCTCTTTCCCCTGCTCACCAGGACCTGTAGGTCCCGAGCCCTCACCCTCGTTGTCCTCAGACACTGGTCCTCAGGCTCTGAGCTGCTGTACTCCCCCTCTTTGTGCTTGCTGGCCCCTCAACTTGGGACGCTGAGCCGCCTCCATCTTTCTATGGCTGTCCCCTTGGCTCTCTGACATTCTTCGTGTCTCACCACCTCAGGCCTTCCCTGACCACCTTGTCTAAAGGGAACTCACGCACTCTCCTCTTGCCCAGGTTAGCCATCCTCTGGAATGTTCTCACTTGTCTGCTTCCGGCAGGTGAGTGAATCAGCGGCATCTTATCCACCTCTACACCCCCAGGGTGCAGCCTGGCACAAAGGAGGCGCTCCACAAGTAACTTCGCAGCTGAATGCAGGAACTCAAATCCCCCCACACACACCCCCTCTGTCTACTGTAGGGTCCCCATCCTCCTCCTCTACCCGGCTGAGGTGAACTCTATCAAAGACACCACTGAGGATGCTTCTGGAAACACGCAAACCTTCCTGAACAGTGTGCTTCCTGTTGTGAGAGCTTGTAAGCCGTCAGAAACCCAACAGCCCAAGACGGACCGTGGGCGCCAATAACCCACTCATTCCAACACCTAGAGACCCTGACAGACAGAGCGGAACCACTCCTGAGGGGTTCCCAGACTGCAAATCTTTTTTGGTTTTAATCATTTTATGAGGGGCTCATACAATTCATCACAATCCACACATCCATCCATTGTGTAAAGCACATTTGTACATTCACTGCCCTCATCATTCTCAAAACATTTGCTCTCCACTTCAGCCTCTGGCATCAGGTCCTCATTTTTCCCCTCCCTCCCCGCTCCCCCCTCCCTCATGAGCCCTTGATAATTTATAAATTATTATTTTGTCATCTCTTGCCCTGTCCGACGTCTCCCTTCACCCACTTTTCTGTTGTCCATCCCCCAGGGAGGAGGTTATCTATAGATCCTTGTAATCAGTTCCCCCTTTCCACCCCACCCTCCCTCCACCCTCCCTGGTATCGACACTCTCATCACTGGTCCTGAAGGGATCATCCGCCCTGGATTCCCTGTGTTTCCAGTTTCTATCTATACCAGTGTGCATCCTCTGGTCTAGCCAGACTTGTAAGGCAGAATTGGGATCATGATAGTGGTGGGGGGAGGAAGCATTTAGGAACTACAGGAAAATTGTATGTTTCATCGTAGCTACACTGCACCCTGACTGGCTCATCTCCTCCCCGTGACTCTTCCATAAGGGATGTCCAATTACCTACAGATGGGCTTTGGGTCTCCACTCCGCACTCCCCCTCATTCACAATGATGTGATTTTTTGTTCTGATGATGCTTGATACCAGACTGTAAATCTTTACAGGAGCAGACAGCCTCAACTTCCTTCTGTGGGTTGGAACCACTGAGCTTGCTGTTGGCTCTTAACCCCCTCAACACCACCAGGGTTCCTTGTGGACACTGAAAGTCACCGGTACAATGAACAGATGTTGAAAGATATATCCAGAGGAGGGGAGTTGGATTCTCAGCCAGCTCGGAACAGCCCTTCTGGTCCCCTCTGACCTGCATGGGGTGGAGGGAGGGTAAAGTGGAGCAGGGAACGGTCTCAGTCCCTCGGGTACCTAGAAGGCTCCTACCTTCTCCATCAGCTGCCGAAGCTCTCGACTGCGGCCGTCTCGGGAGCAGGTGCTTTGTGCAGGGATGACTGCGGTGCAGATACATTTTCCATCCGGGGCCTGAGCTGAGGTGTACAGCTGCCAGCCCTCCTCTGGGCTCTGGAAGAGGGTCTGTAGAGAGGTCAGGCTGGGGTCAAAGAGCAGCAACCCAACAGGGGGTTCGAACCACCCCATGGGGTCATGACAGATGCCTTTTGTTGGCCAGTGGAATGTGCCAGGCCCTGGGCTGAGCTCAGTCCCTCCTCATGCAGCCCCGTTTTTCCGATGGAAAGACTAAAGGGTCCAGAAGCACGATGAGGCAGCAATGGAGAGAATTTAAACTCACTCTCCCATTCCAAGGAATTAAGGAATCGGAGCCCTTCCACAAGACGGAAATTCATTCTCTTATACACCGTGCAATCCCGCCTCCACAATCACCCACTCACTACGACCCCCAAGCTGGACTTCCTTCTCGACTTCCCACGCCCATGGTGACAGGCTGTGGCTATATCTAAGGGACCAACAGACAACATCATGATAAATGGGGTGTGGGGGGGGATGAAGTTATCAAGGATTTCCCTCTGCTAGGACCCACAACTGATGTTCATGGAAACAGCGGTCAAGAACTCCACGGGTGGATTACATTGGACAGATCTGCTGCACAAGAGCTCTCTAAGGTGTTGAAGACAAGGGTGTCATTTTGAGGATTAAGGTGCCCCTGACCCAGGCCCTGGTAAGTTCAGTGGTTGGATCAGCAGGTGCCAGTTCAGGCAGAAGAACTGAGGCATTTGAACGAGGGTGTTGGGGAAGAATCCTGGACTTCCAGAAGAACAACCACATCTATCTTATAGGCCATACAGCCATTTTGCTCCTGAGAAGCGAGGGTGGTGAGCCTCACACTTTTGACCTATTGAGAGACCAGTCCCTGGACATGGACATGGTGCTTGGTGAAATAGGCAGCGAAAATGAGGATGGCTTGACCCACTGACGACAGCAATAGGCTCACACATGACTGAACAGCAACAAGCATGACCTGCGTGTCCTCTCACCTCTAAGAAGCCCAGGCAAAGTGATGGTCCAAGGAAGGCAGAATGCTCCTGGAGCTTCCTGAACCCTGGACTGCAAGGCACTGCCTTCAGACTCCTGCAGCAAACCTCCAGTCTGTTTATAACACTCAACTATGGCCGTGGCTCCCAAGCCACGCTCCTTCACACACGGATGAGCCTAGCCAGTGTGTTTGAAAACATTTCTGCTGGTCACGTAGAGTCATGCTTTGTGGGTGGGAAAAAATGTTTCTTTTCGGCAGCACTTACTAGTGACTTTGAAAGGCTGACATCTATTGGAGAACCCAAGAGAACTGTTCTTTTTCCCAACGTATGTAAAAATACCCAGTGAGTGACTCTTCTGGGCCAGGCATAGGGCCTGAGGCGGGGGTTACGAAGGAGTGAAGGAAACATTGCCCCATGGAGCTCGTAGAGGAGATGGACTTCAAACACATACCCCCACGAATGCTTCTAGAACCACACGCTGCGGGGAGTGCAGCAGTCTTATCCAGGCTGGGCTTCTCAGGGAAGTGACATTAAAGCTTAACTTTAGAGACTGAGTGAGTGAGAAGGGGAGAGAAAGGGACACGCTTGTCACCGAAAAACCAGACCAGCTTCTGGAGGGATCTGAGGAACCCTGTTCAGGAAGCATGGGGTTGCTCCCTGGATGGAGCTGCTGGCCCTCACTCAGGCTCCCTGGAGCTTCCTCCGAACAGAACGTTTTTTGGGGTTTTTTTTTAAATCACTTTATTGGGGGCTCATACAATTCTTATCACAATCCATCCATCCATCCATCCATTGTGTCAAGTACATAAGTACATTTGTTGTCATCATCATTCTCAACACATTGGCCTTCTCCTTGAGCCCTTAATATTGGCTCCTCATTTTCCCCCTCCCTCCCCATTCTCCCTTCCCTGATGAACCCTTCATAATTCATAAATTATTATTATTTTGTCATATGTTACACTGTCCAACGTCTCCCCCTGCCCTCTTCTCTGCTGTCCACCCCCCAGGGAGGAGGTTATATGTAGATTCTTGTAATCGGTTCCCCTATAACGTTTTTTTGCAGCACATCATGATTTCATTTGTTCCAAAAATACTTCTCCAGCAGCGGCGCAGAAGAAACGCTTTGGCGATCTGCTCCTGTAAAGATCTGTTGTCGATGCTAAGTGCTATTGAGCCGCCTCACGACCACCTCCTGTACTGACCACTGCCCCACCCTGCGCCCTATCCACAGTCTTCGCTGTGTCTGCGCCTCGTGTTGCCGCCGCTGTGTCAATCACCTGGTTGAGGGGTTCCTGTTTTTTGACGACCCTTTCCTTTACCAAGAGCTTGATGCCCTCCAGGGACTCGTCCCCTCCTGATAACATGCCCAAAGTACTTGAGACAAACTCTGGCCATCTTTGCTTCTAAGGAGCGTTCTAGCTATACTTTCAAGACAGGCTTGTTTGTTTCTTCTGCCAGCTAGTTCTTCTGGTCTATGCAGTAGTCTTCACCAACACCACAACTCAAAAGCATCACTTCTTCATTCTCCCTTATTCATTGTCCAGCTTTCCCATACATAGGATTTTGAAAATGCCATGATGACATATTTATTTAAAAAAAAAACACACATTTTATTGAGGGCTCTTACGAATCTTTTTAAAATTATTTATTTAATCATTTTATTGGGGGCTCGTACAACTTTGATCACAATCCATCCATCCATCCATTGTGTCAAGCACATGTGTACATTTGTTGCCATCATCATTCTCAAAACATCTGCTTTCTATGTACTTACTTTTTAACACTTTAACGAAGAGGTCTTTGGCAGCAGATTTGCCCGATACAATATGTCCTTTGACTTCCTGACTGCTGCACCCACGGGTACTGATTGTTGACCGGTGCCATTGCGTCGGTTCTAACTCATCGCGACCTGGTGGACGAGAGACCGAAAGCCAGCCCAGGGCTGCACCATCCTCACCCTGGTGTTGTCTCTGGATCCAGCTGAAATGAAGTATGTGACAAGCTCCATCTTCCCTCGGCTTCTCAACATACAGCACAGGTCTGGTTGTGAGGATCGCTTTCTCGAGGCTCAGGTGAAGGTTGTAGTCTTCCATCCTAGTCACTGAGTACTGCAAGCCCACTTCACTTTCAGCACCCAAGGGGGCGTCGTCTGCCTGTTGTGGCCTGTTGATGAGTCTTCTTCCCGTCCTGATGCCACACAGACTAGTAGCTCACAGGACCTGCTCAGCGTACACATTGAATACGTATGGTGAGGCAGTCCAACTTTGATTCACTCCTTTCCTAACTTTCACGCAGTTCCCTGAGGTTTGGTTCCAACAGCTGCCTCTCCGTCTGTGTACTTCACGGGCCCAGGGAAGGGCTCTTGGATTCGCATTCTTTGCACCATTGTCCGTAAATTGTTATGATCCCCTCGGAGTCAAAGGCTTTTGCATAGTCAATGAAACACAAGTAAACATCTTTCTGGTAGTTTCTGCTTTCAGCCAAGCTCCGTCTGACATCAGCAATGATCTCCTTTGTTCCACACCCGCTTCTGAGTTCAGCCTGAATTTCTGATCGCTCCCTGTTGGTCTGCTGCAACCGTTTCAACGTTATTTTTCAGCAGAGTTTTATTTGTATGTGATGTTAATGATGTTGTTTGACTATTTCTGCATTCTTTTGGATCGCCTTTCTTGGGAATGGGCATAAATATGGATCTCTTCTAGTTGGTTGATCAGGGAGCTGCATTCCAATTTCTTGACATAGGTGAGTGAGTGCTTCCAGCATTGCATCGGTTCATGGAAACATCACTTCCTAGAGCTTTGTTTTGTTTTTGCCAGTAACTTCAGTGCAGCTTGTACTTCTTCCTTGAGTACCATTGGCTCTAATACACATGGCTACCGTGTAAAAGAGTGAACGTTGATCAGTTGTTTAGGGTGCAATGATTCGATATATTCCCTCCATCTTCTTTTGATACTTCCTATTTTGCTCAATATCTTGCTCATAGGATCCTTCATTGTTGCATCTCAGGGCTTGAATGGTATCCGCAGCTCTTTCAGCTTGAGAAATGCTGCGTGTGTTCTTCCCTTTGGATTTTCTAACCCCAGTTCTTTGCACGTGTCATTGTAACGCTTTACTCTGTCTTCTCAGGCTGCCCTTTGAAATCTCCCGTTCAGCTCTTTTGCTTCCTTTCTTCCTTCCTCAGTAGCGACTCTGTGTTCAAGAGCAACTTTCAGAGTCTCTTCTGACATCCATTTTGGTCTTTTTTTCCCCTCTGTGTTTTTAATGACTTGTTTTCTTCATGTCTGATGTACCTGATATCATCCCACAACTCATCTACTCTGGTCCCTGGTAGATGTCAGATCAATTCTCCAGATGGTCTCTAAATTCAGGTGGAGAAATAGTCAAGATCAGACTGCAAGAATTCAATATGTTTCAATACTGGAAACTAGTGTAATTAGTCATTCTTTGTGACTTTTATAAACCATTCCCTAAATCAGGGACAATCCCTTCTTTAAGACTCTGTACTTCCTCCTGCGTGCGCAAATGGCCGTACCTCAACTTCCCTGCCTTTCTTGCACCCAGATGTGACCCAGCTGACACACTGTTAAGTGCCCAGGATGCCCCGTGATGGAGAGCTCGCTCTGTGATCAGAGCCCATGCTGCCTTGGTAGACAGGAAGTCCTTGCAGCGACTCACAGGACACAGTCAAAAACGCCAGGCTTCTTGTCTCTCCAGTTGGGTACCCATGAGGATTGGGTTCTGCCCTCTCCCAGGGAGCCCCACAGCATCAGCTTGCACCATAACTCACCCTGCGTGGACTTCCTTTTCTTCCTGTGTCACCCCTGGCCCCCATTGGTGCTCCTTGGAATGCCTCCCAGGTGAACCTTTCTAAGGCAGCCTGACCTAAAATGAGAGCTGTGGCTGCCCCCACCAAAAAAAACCCCCAAAAACAAACCACCCCCTCCCCATCAATTCTGGAAGAATGCAGAATCCATGTTGCCTCTTTTTCGGGACAAAATCCAGGTCTTTGAAATGAATAAATGAACAGGTGCCCAAGCAGCCCCGCCTGTGCGCTCCTGGCTCTGATCCCCAGACGATTTGGACCGACCACCCCTTTGGAAAATCC